TTTAGTTGACTTCAGGCTTCACAAAGGGGAAGGAAAATCAAAGTGAAAAAAAGGCGAGAGGTGGGAGAGGGGGGGCCGGGGAAGGAACATCAAAGTGAAAAAAAGTCGAGAGGGGGTGGGGAACAGAAGGAGTGTTCAAAGACGAAGGTAGAAAAGGTAGAAAAAAGGTGAGGTCAGTACTGTGAAGTAGTCGAATATGAAATACAGTGTGGTGATGGTAGTTTGAAGTCAGAAGTCAACTGCCGGTTAATAGACTTTTTTGCCGTATCAGTATACGTTGCCCAGGGTGCACCACGTGGAGGTAAGTCTATCGCACACCCCATATAGCTGAACATTGAACCAATTTTTTTATCAATAGAAGAATACACTTGCTTTTTGTTTAAAGGTCTAGTTTTTTTGTTTTAATACATTATTTTTCTTGCTTCTGTTTTTATTCAGCTGATTTATTTCATCTGCCCTCATTCCTAGTGATACTTTCATTGCACTCTGTGGTCGTCTTCTTCCTGAAAATGCTTCACGTTGGGCAACAATGCACCGTCTAATCCTCGACCACATTGCCCTCCAGTTATCTGAACCCCCCAGTGAAAATACAGCACTTTTTTACGAAGTCCTCTTAAAAATAATCGGTGGAATGGGTTGCAAATTAAGCACTGGTGTTAAGAATTATGATCCCCTTGCCAAAAAGCTTCCAAATACTAGCGAACTGGATGACTCTTTGGGCCGGCGAACCAAAAGACCTCGTAAAAGTGGAGTTCCAAATACAGATACTTCAATCCTAGCAATGCCTTACGCCATTGAGGAATATAGTCTTGAGTATATCTATAGGGATCTTTTGAAGGAGACATTGGTGTCGCTCTGCCGTATTGGTATTCCAAATCGAAATTTGCAGAGTATTATTGGAGAATCAGCAATTCAGGTAATTTGCTTCCAAAATTTGTTTGTCATGAAAATAGATAATTTTATCGTCTATTATATTATATTTCTTCCTTTAGGTTGAAGATCTCTCCAATGAATTTGGATTAAAAACGGTTGCACTTCTGAGAGAAGCAAGATATCAAATCTCCCAGGTGCCGGTTGAGATTCACTTGACATTCAAATTGGCCAGTAAAATGAATTGAATTTATGAGCACTGTTTTTCCGCATTTTTCTAGGTTGTTCTCGAGCATTCTGCGCCGTGTATTGTCAAAACACTCGATGCTGTTAGCAGAATCTTTCAGGTGGAGAAGGCTACTGTTCTGAAGGCAGGTTTTATACTTTGTAGTCTTCTCCTCTTCCCTTTCTGATAAATGAGTTTATGCACTGAAATTACCAGGCTTGGGTGCGCTTTACTAGAAGTTTTTCTCCTCCATGATTCAAGTTGCTCTTCCCTTCTCGTTGTCATCACGAATATGAATAAGGGAAGGTTTAAATCGTCCACGCCAACTTTCTTTTGTCTAACCAACGGTTATTAGCCCTTTAACGCCCGAATTATTTTTTGAAAAATGCACCCAATCGCACTCACGTGTGTCTCACGGCAAACTGATGCCGCCGACGCGATGAGTTTTGGTGATATCTGGCGTAGTCTATAGACGTATTGAACATGCTTCAAACGGCAACAACACCTTCTGTTATGAGTCTAGTAGCAATGGAGCTTATTTCGAAAGTGGAAAGTACGGTCCCAAGGGTTTTAAAGAGTCAATACACTGAGAATGCACTCTCAACTGCCATTGGTGCGCTAGTTACCAGCACAGTGGTCATTAAAGTCGGTAACCATAAGTTGGGTATTTAACGTTGCACATACAGGGATATGAGTAGTCAACTACACTGTTTATTTCTTATCATGAAGGGAGGTGGGACAAAGCCATTTATTTGTAGGATCGGCTCCAAGTCGAATCTCCCTACCTGCTTGTAAAGTTAACATATCAAACATCATGAAAACAAAATCAATCGCTTAATGTTTCTTTGGCTACTATTTATTCTTAAATATTATAAAGTAGCAATTTTGTCACCTATGGATAGGTGTTAACAGTTGTCCTCTATTTGAATACGCTCTGATGGTTAAGGCTTCCCATTTTGAAATTTAAATTATTGTCATTCTTTTAATAATTCATCAATGTATTCCACTGTTGTATTTCTAGGATCTCTGCTCCCCTCTCTTCACCCATTTGGTTGTAAATGGCACTTATGAAAGTGAATTAAAAATTAACAATTTGCTGGACCAAATGGAGGGTAGCGAGAATGAAGACCGTATCTTCAAAATCGTTCGATTATGCATTCTCCCCGATGTCTTGGTTTACATATTCACAAATCTCTCGGAAGAACAGAGAACAAATTCACTGAATTTCCTCGAGGTAAATTCCTAGGTTATTCTGAATTTATATTTTTTATATTCTATGATTACTCACATTTGTCAATCACTTTTCTAAAGTCCTTCTTCGGAACTTCCATTGAAAACGTGGCTCGTATGAATGATATCTCCAGACTTTTGCATCATTTTGTCCTCAATCTCTATCCGCATCGGGATGAGGCCCTGGCTGGACTTTGTTGGTTAAACAGTATAAAACTCAAGTATCGCGGTCCGAAACCCTTAAATGGCCTTCTACTCCAGCAGCAGCCACTTTCAACTCAGTTCCATACCGAAGCGGAGCTATCCTATGTATCTTCTGAGGAGTTGGTGGGTTTATTTCGCTTTTTTTGTTCTCATTTCGCCTTAATTTCTTACCATCTTGTTTAAATCTTATTTCAGAGTCTCTTCTTGCAGAAGAACCTTTGTGGAATATTAGCTTTCTTCGATAGCCGGTTGATTGATGATGCATACCCCCTTGAGGAACGACGACGGTGCCTTTTAAGTCTTTCCTTTTTCATGGACCTTGTTGGAGGTCAGCCTGTTTCCCGAACTCGGGCAAAGTTCGTCGCTACTCTCAAGTAATTTCATTGTATACTACTTATTATCCTTTTAAGTAGTTTTATGCTATCTGTTTAGTGCACTCCTTTTTCCTCTTTCTTTAGACTATGCCTTCGATATAAATTTGTTGAACCCAAGAGTGTTGTTCAACTATGGTCAATGTTTCTTAAAATGTAGGTTTATTGGTAGAACTATTTCATTCTCTCCTTGTCGTGCTTGTTTACTTTTATATTTTTTTACATGCTTTATTCAGGCTCGACCGAGATTCCCTTGTTGAACTTCTTCCAGATATTGCAGCGAACCTGATCAATCTACTTCCCATTGCTCCAGATTATGTTAAAAAAGCCCTGGGTCATATCTTTATCAATCGACGGTAGGTTCAGTTTAAGTTGCATGCACCGTCTTTGTCGATCGCTTTGCTATTTCTGTTCCCTTCCTTTCAGTGATCAAATAGGAAGCTCGTTGAAACAAGTGTTCTTTCTCCCAGAGTTATCTAGTCTATTGGAGTATCAGCCAGTTATTAAAGAAGCCTGTCCGTGGTACGTTGCTCGATAACATGATGATTTCTCTTATTAAATAATCTAAGCTCTTCTTTACGCAGTTAGATTTTAGTTGGGTAAGTGCACCCATAGGCTTTTTTATTCTTAAGCTTGAAGGGGTTGGTGTGTTTTTTTTTGAAAATTCGTCGGTATTTCTTTGTCTGTTCTATAGGTGTTGAATAAGAGCAGTCGTAAATCCCAAACTTTTCTCAGGATAGGCGTTTTCTGATGTCCATGTTTTGACGAAAATCAGATTCTGTCGCCCTCTTTGTCGATAGACATCGGGCCTGTGATTTCTCATTCCAATGCGTAAATAGTCTAGAAATGGAGTGGTAGTGGAAGGTGTGGTCAGTACTCTTATATTTCCAGCGTAGTCATTTCAAAGTTCACTTGTTTTATCTAGGCTCAGTTTATGCGTCTCAAGTGATGCTTATCCCGATCCTCATGAGCTGGAACTTCCCCCTCCGAATGACTTCGTCGATCTATTGACCGCATGGCTAGGTGGGCTTGAACATTCCAGCCGTAATGTGCGTCGATACACTCTGGCTTCCCTCGTAGATGCCAGCACCACCAAAAGCAGCAATGGATATCGTCATCATCATCACCGCTGCGGACGACTGATGCAGCTTTCGCGTCTTGTTGCCCGCGCTCTAAAGGTTTACCGGCCCACTGCAATGGCATCATCAACTCAAGAGGATGCTCCAGATGGATCTTGTCCTTACATGTCGATTAGACATTTACTGTCACGGCTGATCGCCTGCCTTCTAACAAGTCTTACTAGAGATTCAGATCCGGAAATTAGACTGCTGTATTCAAAGTGGCTTGGAGCTGTGGGAGCCATCGATCCGTCTAGGTATGCAATGTGTAGATTCTTTTTTTTGAAATTTATTAAGTTCGTTTATTTGGAGATAACTCTATTATTTTGTTCGGTCACTTTGAAGTACCTTTACTGATTTGTTTAGTCCTGTTTTATTTCTTCCATTGGAATATCATTGTCCTGACCCGACGAAATCCTTCATTCCTGTTGTCATGACATTCCTGATCTAAACTTTTTCCCGATTGAGTTTAATGATATACTTGAAGTCCCACTGTGTTAAGATCACCTAAGTTCTCAACACCCTCTATTAGAAGAAATCGATCGATCATCTGAATTTGTCAACTGGTTGATACACTCTTGACTCTGCGAATTCGAACAGGATCGTTAGAAAAAATACTTGACTAGGCCCTAGAAGTCCTCTTTGAAAGATCCATTGGCACCCTAACTTTAAATTATGCTTTTACTCGATCTCCTTTCCTTGGACTTGCTTTGATTTCTTTTGCTGTTTCTTTAGTTTAGCTGCTTTCTTCTTTATCTTTTATAAATTTCTATTTCTCTCTAGGCTTGCGCTGATTCATAAGACTCCTCAAAACGTGCCTACCGGCAGTATCGTAGCAGCTCTGAGTTGGGGACGAAATTTCACTTACGATCTAATCATGGAACTCGCCGATATTTACATGCGTGCAGGCAGTCCGAAGCAATTAGTAAGTAGTGCTCTCTATCTAAGTGAACGATCCTTTTCAGAATTCGACTGCTCTTGCTCTGCAAGAACTTCTCCGTTTGTTTCAAATTCCGGGATCAGCGGATGGTCAAGATAAAATTGAAGGTGCGGATGGGTTGCTCCTTGGTAAGGAACTTTGGAGTAAATTCTCTGCGAACATTCGTGATCTTCTCACTCCTCTATTCAGTTCGAAGTACGTTCTTTCAGTTCTATTTGTAACTTGTAGCGCTGGTATAATTCTAAATGCCACCTTTTGCCCTTCTCCAGGTATATTGTTGAGGCTCTAAATGATGATCAAGCCGTTGACCCACCGATATTTTCACGTGATGACTGTCCTACTTATGGGCACTGGCTCCGAGTCTGGGCAGAATCTCTTAAAGAATATGTAAGTTTCTTGGCATTCACTCATATCTTCTAGGTTACTAATCCCATGATGCACAAGCTATTCAAGTATTGCGGTCCGGTAATCAATTCTGATTCCGAATTCGCTAGATACATTCTCGATCCAATTGCCCTTCAAGTAATTATCGATGGTAACCAGGATGGCACATCTAAAGTACGCCATTGACCATTATAAATTACGGAACGTTATTTAGCAGAACTATAAAGTTAACGGCTTTACTTTTAGTTGCAAAGTGAAATCACCTCGCTCCTGGAGACCGTGGCGGATAATAATAGATCAGATAGATGTACGGATAAATTGCCTACGGAGTTCCTGTTTTACAACGATACTAATCCAGCTTCGAATAATGTAAGTTTATCTTTGATGAGTATTAACAGGGTTCATCCATTTCTGTGCTTACTTTAACATTAACTAAATTTATGTGTTTTGGGGAGGAATCGTGTGTTAGTGTTTTAGAGAGGCTTTTGTGGATGGAGAAGTCAATCCTGCCCCCCCCCCTTTGCTCTTCTCCTGATGGTCACAATTAGTTGGACCCAGTTAGACAAACATCTGCCTTTTATGAGTTGCATAAAAGAATGTTCATGGTACTGATTGGTTGGAGCTGAGCACATAGCTTCTTTTGATGCGGAGATTATACTTTCGCCTTGTCATCCTCATCACCAATGTGTGGGAGCATTCTACTCTCGACAAATAGTCCAAGAATTTCTGAAAACACCTTTTGTTTTCCTAATTAGCTCTTATCTTTAATAGTTGATCAAATGTAAATGCTACTAGCACCTTAGTTTTAGACTACTAAAAAGTCGATAGGTCATTGATCTAATCATCCCTACCCTTACATCTAGAGTATTAACTAACCGCAGTCTCTGGTGTTATATTAGTTGCGACTTACCATACCTTATACACTTGTATTATTTCAGTCTTCATCTTTTCTGTCGGCCTCATGGAAATCCTGGTATCCACTAGCTGCGCAAACTATTTTCTCTCTTCTCGATTTTCTGAGCTCCTGGCATCGTTCTCGCTCCGCTGATTACACAGTAGTTGTAGCAGCTGTCGCAAAAAGTTCAGATCGTCGGTCGGACGGCGCCTTCAAACCAACGGAGGAGCAGAAAGGACGTTTACTGCAACTCCATATGGGTGAGTTCCCCCCCC